ATTTCAATAGTTACTGAATTTGAGAAGCTAAAAACAACTTTAGAAATTAATTAAACTTTTCCGCTTTTCAGTATTTTGCTGTGACTACCTTTGGTAGAGGGAGGTGGTAGGCTACAGCGAGTGTATATATTTATTTACATTTGTTCTTTGTCGCATAAGAGCTGAATTCTTTGAGGATCCAGGTTTTTCTTTTTTGAAGACTCACTATAAAATAACTTTACATAAAGCTTGTCATAGTTTTTGAAAGTATTAAGAAGTTTCAGATAATATAGAATAAATATGAAATGCTATGAAACTACTGGAGTCTGCTGATCAATTTGGTGTTCTGGTAGAACAGTTTCAGAAGGAAAAAAATAAGAGCTACTAAAGGTTAAGACCCATTAAAGCAGCAGCAGTGGAAATTTAGGGCAATCTTCCAACAGGGAAAGGATTGCTGTGCAGTCTTTTTGGTCACATCCACAAACAGGAATAGTATCTGTGTCTGTGAACCACAACAGTAGCAACACAACAACCGAGGATTGAGAAACGCTCATGGAAGAGATAATTGGAGTAGGTCCATGAACACTGAGTACAATTTCTTCAGTCAAGAAATATTATAGACATTGGGAGGTGGAAATGCAGCGTTTTCACCAAAGGAAGCCTATTTCTACCCAATTTCATATCTGTGAATCATGCACTTTACAAAAAATAAAGAATATGCTTGAAAAGTAGTTCATGGTGTGAACCAATGGCTCTCAAACTTTAGCATGTACCAGAATTACCCAAAGGGCTTGTCAAAATTGGGCGAGGCCCCAAGAATTTGTGTTATACTTCTATTTCCTTGGGACTTGATTCCTGCGATCCCAGACCACACTTTGGGGCCACTAGGTTGGAGACCTTGCTGTCTCTTTCTCTTTTCTTTTGAGAATAGCTGCTCTCATTCTGCCAGAGCTCCTGATACTGAGTTTTGACTACAACATTTCTCAATATGTGAAGTGATCACATAAATGACAAGAGTGGAACACAGTACCAAGGAGATATTTGTACTTTAAAAAAGTTCTAATGGGTATAGACAAAGACTGTCGGTAAGTTAGAAGGTCCCCTTTTGTCTTTGTCAGCTCTAAGACTGCTTTTAATTTCCTCGATTTATAAATTATATAGACATAAGAGCCATCACTTCTCTGGAATCTAGGGTCTTAAGCTTTCTCCTTCACTTTCAAACTCTAGTCATACTCTAGAAAACATTACTGCTGTGGTCGGAATGTTCGTGCCCCTAAAACTCATATGTTGAAACCTAATCACCAATGTGATGGGATTAGGAGGTGGGGTTGCCAAGAGGTATCAGAGCCCTTGTAATAGAGGCCACAGAGAGCTGTCATGCTCCTTCTACCACGTCAGGACACAGCCAGAAGGCAGCCCTCACCAGATACTGAACCTGCTAGCGCCTTAATCTTGAAATTCCCAGCCTCCAGAACAGTGAGAAATTAATACGCTATTGTTTATAAGCTGCCCAGTTAATCGTATTTTGTTGTAGCAGCCTGAACAGATTAAGACAATTACCATCTTCCCCACAAACTAAATTTGTTTCTTAAAATCAGTAAATGCTGATGTGTTTTGTTTTTCAGAGAAAAATAAAGTGGTGATTCTCTATAAGAGAAATATTTGCTTTTAGTTTTTTTTTGTATGTGCGTGAGAGGTGATGCTACTGTACTATACTGTACTGAGTATATTAATAGTACGAGCAAGTCAAATTGCAGAATAAACTAGTTCCATGTTTAGCAGGATTTTAGTTCTGGGTTTTCCTCAGACATTGCAGGCCAAATGAGGTATGAGGAGGAAATTCTTTCAGGTCTCACAGGCCAGATTTGGCTACATAAACCATAAACAAGTCCTATTATACAACATAGGTGTTAGGAAACAACTAGAGATTTTAAGGTAATCTGGGAAGCACATGGAAACCTCCAGTTCTGAGGCTGAGTAGAACATGTAACAATGCCAACTGCCATGTGTGTGGGAAATGTGAACTGCTGGCATGGTGCGAATAGTTCGTATGTTGAATACAATTCAGTTTAATAAACTTTTGTTGAATGTCTTATGCATTCAAATAATAAAGCATTTTTGATATAACAAGGCTTCTACCTTCACAGTATTCTGAACAGAGTCCCAAAGAGCTATATTACACTTTGGGTTTTTTTCTGCTTAATAATAAAACTGAAGCAACCTGGGATGAAGAATTAAGTTATCACAGCAAACGTTAATGGTGTTGTCAGGACTAGACTTGCTGCTGAAGTGGAAGATTGGAAAATTCCACTGAAGTGGAATTCACTTCCGGGCTTTTTTTCCTTGTGATCCTTACCTGGGCTCCCTCCTCCCCTGTGACCTTGCTCTCATAAATCACCTGCAGCAATTAGCGTACCGTACCGGGCTGTAAAGTCACTTAGGATCCTGCCTCAATAAAGTTAACCCTGTTGTAGCCGAGCCCCTCCTCCTTAAGCAGAGTGTATAAAAGACTGCGATGCTCTTTGTCTGGTGTTCAGAATTTGGGGAGAGCAAATTCCCCTCTGGGCCAATCGCCAGCCGGCACATAAAACCTGTTTTTGCCAAATCTTTGAGTGTGTCTCTTAGTCTATTTTCGGTCAGCCCTGCCGTAACACTGCAACAATGGATGAATAACTCTAGAAATAAATTGTCTATGGGCAATCTAAATTAATCAAAGTCTAAATAAATCTCTAAATAATTCTATTTAGAATTCTGGATAGAATAATCTAAAGTTTAAATTACTCATTCAACAAATGCACAATATCAATGTTGTAGCACTGAGGTCCCCAATCCCTGGGTGGTGGATTGGTTGCAGTTCATGGCCTGTTAGGAACCTGGCCCCACAGCAGGGGGGAAAAAAGGTCTAAAACTCTAAAAAATTCCCATAGCAGAAGGAAGAAAGTAAAGAAAATATGTAAAAGGATGAAGAGAAAACAAGAAAGGCCATAAGAGTTGTTTAATGATTTTAGCTATTTTCCTAACTGTGATTACCATTTGTACTTTTTTTGTTTATGGTAAGATATTTTCAAGTGCCAAAATTTGTGCTTGAATAGCAGAAAACTAATCTTGTAAGATTGTTACACGATCCAATCACAGTTAGGAGTGCCCTGGGCCCAGGCAGAAAGCCAAAGATGGAGCTAATAAATGTGACGCACATCTCTACTCCCAAACACAGATGGATAGAGACTTTGAATAGTCTGGAGCTAAAAGTCCACAGGATATGCATTATCAATGGGAAAAAAAAAGCCAAACTCTGTAAAACAATTTTAAAGAGATTTACTCTGAGCCAAATTTGAGGACCATGACCTGGAGCCACACCCAAGAAGCCTTGAGCAAGTGGACTTGCTGAGGCTGGGTTACAGTTTGCTTTTATGCATTTCAGGGAGACAGGAATTACAGTTAAAGTCATAAATCAATACCTGGGAGGCATACATTGGTTTGGCCAGAAAAAGTGGGCCATCTCAAAGCAGGGGGAGGGGCTTACAGGTGATAGGTGGGTTTAAAGAGTCTTTGGCTTGTAATTGGTTGAAGACAGGAAGCTTTGCCTAAAGGCTTGGAATGTTTTAACATAGGAGCTGTTTATCAGAGATAAGCCACCGGACATAGATTTGTTGTGTAAATTGAGGACCTACAGGTTTGTCTTGCATACCCTTAGGCCTGTTAATGGGTTACAAAGGATGTCCCCAAGAAGGGAGGGGGGCATGATGAGGCATGTCTGACCTCCTTCCTATTTAGTTTTAGGATTTTCCTTTGGCCACCAGGGGGTCCAGTTAGTCAGCCGGTGGGGGGGAGGGGGGGCTGAGCCTTAAAATTTTATTTTAGTTCACAGCATTCAGACTTAAAACCCCAAAAAAGTGAAGTTGTTGAGTTGAACGACAGAATATTTCAGCAGCAATTTTGTTTTTATTTCGTTACTTGAAGCTTTGACCTTGGTGGTGTGTTCTTCCTAAAGACATGCACAGGCTCAGTTACGGTGAGAAGCAGTAACCTGGGCATCCAGAATGTTCCAATTCAAATTTACTTTAGGTAACCTGTAAGGGTAGCGTACAATCACCGTTAACATACTTGAAAACCAAAACCAAATAGAATTCAAGCAATTCAAACGAATCACGCTCCAACCTACCAGTGGGCTGGAGCGGGATGCACAAAGATTAACAGGAGAGCAGTACACGGACAAAAATTAGTGTTTGGGAAAAATATAATGCCTTTTACGCATACTAAAACTCCCTGAAAAAAAAAATTAAATGCAGTTTGTTAAAGTCTTAAAAGTACGAACACCAAATTTACTTCTTAGCATCACCAGTGGCATTATTTTCCCAGCTCGCTTCACCCAATGTCTCCTTTCCTCAACTTTCTATGCCTCCTCCTCAAAAACCTTTCCTTCTGGTAACGGGCTATGGGATGGTTAAACAAGCAAAGGGTAGCTTGCTTGGCATAGTACCTTCAATTTGTTGAGTGAATACAGCACATTTCAGCTGTGGGATGTACAAGCCCATGTCCCGAGCCAGCACAGCACGTAGGGACCGGCTGACATTTAGGAAGTGCGGCAGGAGTGTTCACTACGGGCGCTGGGGGAGCGTCAGGACTCTACGTGGCCGCTTTAAAGTGGCACAATCTTGAGAAAAACTCTTGGCTCTTCAGATAAACCAGTGAGCCCCCTCCACAAAAGCCTCTGCACATTTATCCTGCAGGGGTCGCCTCCAACTCAAGAAAGCACCTAAAAAAAATGCTCCGACCCCGTGAGACCTTGTCGTTGAGCGCGGCGGAGACCCCGCAAGGAGGCGACCACCACGGGCAGCTCCAAAACCACCAAACGCACACCGCCCCGGAACACGTGTGCCAGAGAGCGCCCAAACGTGGGCGGGGAGGCTGAGACCCTGCCCTCGCGAGATCTCCCTCCACCACCGTCGTGGAGACGGCCTCAGTCAAAGCATCGCGTTGTTTTGGCTTCGGGGCGGAGCGAGCCTGGAGGGGGCGGAGCCAGATGGGGGCGTTCCCGGGCCTTGTTGACTTTGGCGTCTTCGCGGAGCGGCCCGCTAGCCCGCGGCTCTCCGCGCATGCCCGGTCGCCAGCGGCTCCGGAGGCCCGGACGGTCCGGCTGCCCCAGTAGCGGGTCCCGGCCCCGCCCCTCCCCCCGGCGGCGGCTGGCGTGTTGCGGTGGTGGTGTGGCGGCGGCCGGCCGTCGCGGACCCCTGCGAGTCCTAGCTCCTGGTCTTACGTGCCGCTGCGGCGGGTCGGACCGACTGCCACGCCACAGGTAACGGCGCCGCCCGCGGGCTCGGGGTCGTGCAGGTCTGCCTGTCCAGTGTGCTGGGTTCAGGCGGGCGACGGGGGCGCGCTCGGAGGCCGGGGAGCCCGGGGTCGGGGCACCCACGGGCGGGAGGTCCGGGGACCTGGAGGTCAGGGGCGGGGGTACACAGCGCCGGAGGTCGGGGGCGGGGGTACACAGGAGCCGGAGGTCGGGGTCCGGGGGTAGGGAGCTGAGGGTCCGGGGGTCGTGGGCTGGGGAACTGAGGGTCCGGGGGTCGTGGGCTGGGGAACTGAGGGGCGGGGCGGTTGGGGGACGGAGGGCCCGGGGGCGGAGGGGTCCGGAGTCCAAAGGGGTCCAACGGCAGGCCTGGAGGTTGGGGGCCGGTGGATCCGAGAGGAGAGGAGGCCGGTGGCCCGAGGGAGGCTGGGGGCGCCGCGTCCTAAGGCTCATCCTTCGAGTCTGACCTGGCTCGGGGACCGGTGAGTCCCCGACCGCCCGCGGGCCCCTTAGGGCCTTTTCAGATCCACCCAGTGACTTCTGTTGTTTTGGTTTTGAAGGAAGAGAATCCAACCTACGTAGGCTCGGGTAAGCCTTGGGGGCTGGGAGGAGAGTGAAAAGGTTAGAACAGGCGCTAACATTTTCTTTCTTACTTTTTTTTTGTTTGAGCGTTTACTACTGTTTGTGGTAAGTGCAGTGCCCGTCGTACTGCTTGGGGTATTTCAAACACCGGCGTAGAGAGGACCCATGAGTGGAACCTGAATGTTTAATTTTACAGATCTAAGGTTTTTTTTTTTTTTTGAACTTTTATTATTTTGTTTTTTTGGCCCTCTTTTTAAAATTGGGAAATCATGTCTAGTTTTTAACATTACAAATCAGAAGAACTTTGGTACAGAGGAGAAAGTACGCTTTTAGCAATAGTTATTTTCCCTCTGTTACTTTCTTTTTTTTTTTTAATTACAAAAGTACTGCGTGCTCTTTAAGAAAAAATTAACCAGCCAAACAATGAAGAGGCCTGCCCTCTGTCGCTCCCACCCCGTTTCATATTTCGCTTTCTTACTACCCTGGATAACCAGTCTTCAAGTGTGGTGTGTAGCCATTTAGGATTTTTTTCGGTACATATAATGAGTATGCTTTAAAAACAAAATTGGGATCACATATAGTACAGTATATCGTTTTATTAGCCAACAGTGCATCGCGGATATCCTTCCATTTTATCATGTACCTCCTTCGTTTTAAAAGCAGCATAGCTATGTATTATTTCTTGCTGAGCATGGTCTCCAATTTTTCAATAATCAGTAGCTTGTAAAAAGGGCTATAAACCAATATTTTGAAACCTAATGTGGTAAAACTTTAAGAATGTCTAAGGCCAGACAGGAAAGTACTTTGATATTAACCAGGGTGAGTAATATGTTTACACAGAGCTTAATGGTAGTTTACGTGAGGATGGTTGACTTCATAAAGCAGGTTACTAAAATAGTTTACTATTTGTTTTTTGAGTGCATTTTTCAAAGTAAATTTAAATTCCATGTGGTTAGTTGAGAACATTGACTTCCTTAAACAAGAAGTAGCTAATGTGTATAGAGGAGGTAAAGTAGAAAGGTAGTGACCCAGAAGTTTGTTTTTCAGACAAAAAAAAAAGCATCAGGGATTAAATATTTTGATAAGTAAGCCATAGGGAGTAAGCTGGAAGCAGAAGGATGATACTACATTGCTTTCTATTAAGTAAGAGAGCTAGCAAATCCCTATTACATACTGCATTTCTGTGTGCAGAAGAGCTGGAGGCTTTGTTGATTTAATCACTGACTTGTATTAAAAATGTACTGTGTGTTCATCTTGGTGGTAGCTCCTAGGGAAAGCAGTACTGAGTGAGATAATCACAAACAACAGTCTGGTTCTAAACATATATAGCCTGAAATCTTAGGCAAAATTGTGTAGCATTTTTTTGTTTGGAAACTGTGCTTTAAAGAAATAAAAAATATCCATGGCATTTTAATTATTCTTGGTAATAATATACTGATATAGGTTTCTCATAACAATATAAGTGGCATTCTCCCTATTCTATAGAATAATAAACAGAAGTTTTGAGAGATTGGCTAAACTGCTCAAGATCCCCTTTCTTTTTTTAGTAGTGGTGCTTCCTTATACTTAGGTGTGCTTAATCCAAGGACCTGTGTTTTCAGCCCTACCTTGCTGCCTCCTGTTAATGAAAATTGCCTTACAGGATTGTTGATCTTAGTTTCCTCTGCTTTCTTTGAAATGTTCCCAACAAATCAGAGACATGAATATAATCATTTGCATTGAAAATAATCTAAAGGATAAATAGTGTGAAACTATAATGGTATCTTTTTAGATACCATTTCTGGTGATTTATTATTAAAATAATAAACTCGTTGATCTTATGCTGTTAACTAAGAGAAGGGGGATTGTGTTATCTAAGACAGTACTGGGTGCTGTGGTAAATTTGGATATTATAAATTGTAGCTCTCACAGCTGCTTATTCCTTACAAACTTGGAAGGATAATCTCATTTCACTAAGCATTATTTTTATGAACCTACTTGAACTTTTTGTAAACTAATATGCTGAAAAGAGAGCTCTAAAAAGCCTGAAAAGATTAAAACTTGCTTGTGTCATTTTTGGTGTTTTTTCATTTTTGGTAGTCCCTTAAAATGCATCATGACAGACAACTTAATAGGGTGTTACAATATTATGGTGTGTTGTTTTAGTTTTCCACCAGATGTGACAACTGTGTAATTAAAGAAATAAGGCAAATACTGAAATTAATAAAGTGTGATCAGTTGTAATATGTATTTGAGAATAAACCCACATATAGGAGAAGCTTTGAGCTTTTATTGGCAGTTAAGGATGATAACTGGATTCATATCTAAGTGGTGTATCTCCCATCAGTTATCTCTTGTACAACTTTACATTGGATATTGAGTGGGTTTTATAGTGTGTGACACAAATATTTCAGCCCCCAAAAGACCGTTTTAGAATACATTAAGATTTATTGATTTTCACCTGTTGAGGGGAGAAGGGGATAGGAATCAAATGGGGTGTGTGAGTATTCTCAAAAATTAAGATGAGAGATCCTATTGCTGATGGGAAGAAATAGAAAGTTTATTTTCCAATTTAACCTGAAAATCCTTTTGGGAACATAAATTCATGAATATCCAGAAATCAACTATTTAGGTCCTATGGATGATACAAAAAAAAGCATCAAGTGTGATCTCTAGTTTAAAATCTTTTTGGGTTTAAAACTAATTTGTATAAAACGGCCATTGTGACATTACATAAAGGACCTGTTCTCTGATGGTTTCTAGGGAGGAACTAGTTATTGTAAAAGAGAATCCGAAATAGAGGGGGTAAACCTGAGAACTGGCTGTCAAAGTAGACAAAGGGAGAGGGATTCTTCAAAGAATGAGTACTCTGTAGAGTGGATGGATGTCAAGAAAGATGAGAACTTAGTTATTTGAGCTTCGAGGTACTGAACAAATATCTAATTATAATTATCGTGTATTAGCTATGTCCTGCTGGGGGTTGAGTTGGAATAATTAACACTTTTCAGTAACTTGCAGGCTCTTATAAACCTTTTATAATAATCTCATTATCATAAGTCAATTCAGTTTATAATCTAAAGTTATAATGAGCATTTGAAGAGCTGTAGAATGTGAAATGCTGTGAAGGTCTGTCTTCTGTGACTTTCACAAGCTACCACCTCCAACTCAGCCTTCTCAGGGCCTTTGTTCATTTTGCTCTCTCATTTCCTTAAGTATAGGTGTTCTTTTAGGTTTAGTTCTCTTTTTAGAGCTTGTTCTCTTGGCAATGCCACATAGACCCATGGTTTCAGAGGCTCATTTCTCCCTAACCCCTGACTTTGGTGAAGCTCCCAATTCCGTATCACCAGCCTTGTCTTCTTTCCTGAGCTCCAGATTTGCCTTTTTTTGTTGTTCTTCTTGATAAAGTTTTGCTGGCTGTCATTTTGGTATTTTGAGTCATAGATTCAGAATTAATCTTTTTTTCAAACTTAATTCTTCTTCCCCTTTTTATTGTTTATGTTAATAACCTTAACATTTTCTTAGTCTTCTAGGCTCAAAATCAAAAGGTCACCTTTGATTCTCTACTCTTTCCTTTTTCAGAAATATTTATTTGTCATTTTCTTGCATTATGGTTCCTGATTCTCCTGCCTTCTTTCCATTATTCCAGCAACCATGTATATAACAAGAGATATCCCTAATTTCTAGGTTCTGCCATTCATCATGCATACTGCTATTAATCGTCCTAAATGGAGACCTCATCATGTTCCCTGCTTGGTGACAAAACAAAAAAATCCAAAACATGGGCCATTATGCTGAATGCTTTGTTCTCGTTTGGTCCTCATAATTTATGTTGGTAGGTATTATTGTCTCCACTTTACAGATGAAGAAATTGAGACTTCATGAGCCTGAGGAGTTGCTAGGAGGAGGAAAAGCTAGGATTTGAATCCCTCTTCCTTGCAAGTCTTTGTTTTGACCACTCTGCTTCTGCTAAGTGGCTTCTTTTCCACTCTGGAGAATAAAGTCCTGGTTCCTCAGTGTTGCTTTTCAAAACTGTGTTATTTGACCCCAGTGTCCCTTGAAGAACTTACTTCATGTTTCAGTCAAACTTGTTACATTCTTTCTGTTCCAAAAAGAATGTAAACTTAAGTTTTACTTTATTTTTTTTTTTGTTTCTCATGCATTTCCATTTCTTGGAATTTTTTTTTTCCCCATCTCTGCCTTTAGAAGTCCTCCATGTAAAAGGGTAGCGCGCATACTGTATTTGCCTAGAGCCCTTCATCTTCTCTGCTGTGCAGTAGTGAGATCTCTCCTCCACATTCACACAGCTGTTTAACCTGTCATCATACTTCCTACTCTGACTTTGTTTTTGAGTGCTCCTAAGAGTTGTAATTGGATTATAAGATACTTGAAAGCAGAAATCATTTCTTATTGTTCCTTTTGTCTCCCAGTGGATGCTCAGGAAATACGGG